ATCTAGGCTTGCATAGTTTGAGCTTCAGATACAGTTTAATTCTAAAAGGAAAACTCCAGGATGACTTGGTGATAAATATGTGGAGTGAAAGCAGTGCAGAGAGGGTGGCTTCCAGCATGAGAGTGTGTTGGAAGGCACTACACAAATCATTGTCTGGACAGATGTAAATTTAAAAAAACAGTAGAACCATAAATCCATATAAACAGCATTAATTTTAATTAACCCTATTAAACTAAAAATATCCTCAGCAGCTGGATGAGCTGAAGTTTTGTTACAATTAAGTAAGTTGTGGTGACATTTTTATCTGAGGTCGCATGGTTTAATTTAAACTTTATTAAACAAACTGGAGCTCGAATATTCCCTGGAGAGTTGGATGCAGCACTAATCTTCTGTTTAACTGTCTTTAACTTTATTGGAAGCTGTCCAGCAAAGGTAGCATTGAGGAGATTTATATTAGTAAAGTTACCTAGAGGGAATGACATAGTCTGTGAGTTTTTCTTTTGTGGAAAAGACCATGGTGGTTTTTAGAATTGGGCAGATATATTTTTAAGAATTAGAATACAGTATCTAACTACTGAAACCTGTTTATATTATTTTGAATTAGAACCTCATAATAAAAAGTTAGCTTCTACAGTCTTGAAGTGTAAACAATTAGGTGTGCAGTTGCAATTGCGTTGCTGTCTCTGAAGTAATACTGAGGTTGTGCCACCTGTTGGTAGGAGCAATGTGGAGATGGTTTTTGCTGTGTTGACTACCGTAAACTTATTTTGGGAAGTCTTACGTGTTCTGTTTTTCACTGTCAGGTTATGAATGCAGCAACAGTGTATCTGATAGTGTAGTGTCTATGTATGTCTAATGAAAGCAGCTTGTGAATGGTCTTTTCTTCCCTGTTTGTGAACAACTGTCTCCTGAAAGTGTTTGGCAAGACTGGGCCTTTGGAAAAAGTGAATATACGTAATGAAGGAGCTTAAGTCAGTTTATGAAACAGAGTTGTTAACTACATTTACATCTAAAAGTGGCATTAAAAAGATCTCCATGGTCTGTGATGCCTGCTGCATAGGACTTGTGGAATTGAGAGGAAAAAAAGTTAGCTTGTGGGCATGTGAGTGTTCTAATTTTAGTATTATTATAGTAATAGATGTATCACTTCTGGAAATGTTACTTTCATAATTTAAGACTTAGTTTTATTTCCTCTCAACATGCCATCATGTCCCATCTCTGTGTTGAATAACATCTCTGTGTTGAGTTTTGCAGACTCATAGTAAACATTGATAATATCTTTGATTTATGCTCTGCTCATTTCAGTAGTACTTTCATGTGCCTGGATCTAAATGTGTAATGAACTTACTTTTACAAAGCTTTGCAGATGATTTTAAATGGCCTGCATCAGTCATTTCAATGTGTCCTGGGGAAGGAGTGGAAGTAATTGCCTTTCCTGTAATTCCATTACCTGTTTTGTAGTTTCTGCTTGCAAACAATTATGTTAAGTCATCTCCAGCACTAATGACTTGCCTTTGAAATGGAACATGGACTAGCGGTGTCAATTTATCATCTACTATTAAATGATACACTGACAGTTCTTTTTGAAGGTCTTGATGTAGTATTGGTTGACTAATTTTCTTCTGAACCTTTCCTCACCTTCGGCAGGACCCCAGTCACTTCTGCATTTCATAGTAGATATGTATGTATGGGATTTTCCCACTCCTGCCTGAAGTATCTGCTTGGCAGTCGTAGATGCTCAAGGAAGTACTGATGACTGCTGCCTGCAGTGCTCTTGGGCGTACTCTGGATTCCTGAGATGTACTTGGCCTAAGTTTCATTGCTCTGCTTGTTGTCTTTACTCAAGACGTGCCTTCTCTGTCCGGCAAAACTGCAGAACAGCAGCTCTACCAAGGTTAAGTTAATTCACTCTTCTGTGTTACATCAGAGTTTAGGACAAGAAATACTGCTCTATGCAGTTCTGTCACCAGAGAAGTGGTGGCGTTTTAGTGACTCCTGGAAACATGTAATTTGTTTTGTGCGTTTAGGGATGTAAGGTGATAGATAAAATATCTCTGGAGTACCAGTATGGTCTGCAGTTAAGGCTGTCAGTTTACAAATGTCTTTAATTTCTGTTAATACAAGTAAATCTCATAAAGGAATGGCCAGTAAGTTTTATGATTATGGAAGTGCTTGACTGACTAAAATAACTTTACATTCTAGCCTATTACATATAGCCAGTTCACATTTATTGGATTAATAAAATTTTCTATTAAAACAGTAATTGGAAGTTTTACATGGTTCTGCGCTGCTGTTTTTCTTTTAATTAATCCTAGCAAGAAAACAGTGTACAAGTATAACTCAGCAAGATTGTACTTGTGTTCTTATTGCGGAGTGCTTTTGCCGTAAGTGGGCTCAGCAGTGACAGCAGCAGGAAGGTAACCAGAGTGGTGTGAAGCTGCTCTGCCCAGAAACTGCAGGGATTGTCAGTGCAGCAGGAGCGCAGCACTGTGCCGGTGTGCGGCTGAGTTTATACAGAGCCTCCTTCGCTCCTCCCCACCGTGCTGCCATGCTGGGGAGAAACTTTAATGAACTGGAACAAGGGACACAAAATCAATAGTTAGAAATGAATTCTGGATAAAGAGATATTTCCCTCATAGTTTTTTATGAAAATGATTTGAATTTTCTATGCAGCCAGGAAACTAAACCTGAAAACATTGTTGATAACACAATTCTGTATTAAGTGTTGTGTATGTTTCAGCCTGTAGTAAGCAGTAATTGGTTTACTTGGAAGGCCATTATAATGTGTGTAAAACCGTAAGCATCTGGTTAGTTAGTACTTCGTTTATAAATTTTTTGCTAAATGACCACAAACCGGATTGGATTAACTGATGAGGAGTTCAAAAAAATTAAGAGGGGGAGAAAAAAACCAGAATGCAGAGTCTGTTTTTATTAAAAGTGTGTGTGCGCATGCATATAAAAAATACAATAAATTAAAAGATTTTCATCAAAGAGATGTTGCTAGATTATGTCTAGGATCTAGGTTGTTTGCTTATGTACCTTGCCAAAATAACAAAGCCAGTAGCTTCCCCTTTCTTTGTCCCCTTAGCAGTCCCAAGCTTTTACTCATTAAACGTGGTGGGGAGTTGTGCCTGTTGACTGAAAATTTCCTGTAGTTATGTTGTGCGTAAGAGGTGTGGGGGAGACGAGGTGAAGCATACCTCTGATGGGTAGTGCACCTCTGATGTGAAGCGCTTCTGCTAATTCATGTTTGGAGGAAAGGCTCTGGTGCGAGCGTTGGTTTCTTCGTTCAGAATCTTCGGTTTGCTTTCTGCTTCTGTGATTCAGGAGAGCTGGGGAGTGTGGAGGATGTCACTTCAGATTGTAAATATCGTACCTCAGAGTCTGTTTCCAATTAGGTAGAGAAAATCTTGGAAGAAAACTTGAACTGATTTGCCTAACAGTGTTTGAGCATTCATTAAAGCATCACATGTAAAGGCAGAAAGAAAGAATATGACTCTGTGGACAGATATATTAATATGAAATAATGACATTTAAACACCTGTAAGCCAGGTAACAGTGTTACACCAACGTTCTTCTGCCATATAATTAAAGTATGGTTGTTTTATTAAAACAAGATACGTGATGATGATAACTTGAACATGTCTTTTGCCAAATACATGTTACTTGACAGCACCAGTGCTGTGTGGGTCATACGTGGGGTTTATTTCTTAGATACTTTGAATTTTTTTCTTGTCAAAAGTACCCAGAATCTGTAATAAAATTTGAAAAGAAATATAACCCAGTTTCTGTTTTTACACACAATTGTTAAATGAAGTCACTAGTCTGTTTCAATGTCGATTACGATTAAAATTAGGGGGGAATGTTTCAACGTGATTTACTTTTAAGGAGTGATTTTTCTTTTGATGAATGAATTAGTTGAAATGTAGAAGTTTTAAAGAGAGTGCTGGATTAAGCTCTCGAGTGTTCTGTTTTATTTTGGCTGACAAAGAGCTTGACAAGCTTTTGGCCATGTCAGTGTTGTTTCTGTCTGGCTTGTTATATCAGGAGAAGGAAAATGCCTTACTATAAATACGGTGAAATAGCTGTCATGTACAGCATCGTTTCTTTTGGATTCTAGATGGTAAGTAGCTCTTCCTGCACTACGTGGTAATTTACGTGTGATCCAGGTTGTGGTGCGTTATTCTCTGCAACTTGTTTTTTGACAAAGGGCTTGTTTTGTTCAGCGAGGTACTTCACTTAAACACTTCGTTAGAAAGTTGCTTTATGCTTGTAAAATCGGAAAGCAGGGACAGCTTTTCAGGAAGCTCATATGCAACTATGAATGGGATGTCATCAAGCTTTTCATGTTTACAGATTGTGAACGAGTTTGGACAGGTTTTAGCTGGCAAGCAGATTTTGACTGTGCAAGAAAATCTTAGGTGAAGAATTACATTTAGTCCAAAGTTTAACTGTTGTATTCTTGTTAAATTCGTGCTTTGCTGTACTGTCTTATAAGCATGTAAGTGGTGATTAAATTTTTTTTTTTTTTATACAGAAAAGTAGACTGGTTGCTAGATGAAACTGCTTGAAACATGCGGCTGGAGCTGCTCTTAGTAATGTTCGCCACTGTTGGTTACAGATCATTTCTCTGGCTTACATGCAGTGTAAAATTGATCATAAAGCTGGCTTATTTTCCTTTTATGTGACAATAATGATGCTTAATTTAGAACAAGCTATTGTAGTCAGAGAAAACTTAGGCAGTGAACTGTTGTAATCGTTGGTGTTAACTTTAGGTCCACTTCACTTCTCTCTTTGAGAAGATTAGGTTGTTAGATCTCATTTTCTAGTAGTCAGATTTTCCTATTTAGGTGAAATTATATATTTAATTTCATCCTATCTTTTTCTTGTAAGGGTAAATGTATGGTGTCTGGGATTTTGAGAATCCTTAAGCTAATACATTTCTACAACATCTTTATTGACCAGATTTTTTTTTCTTCCTCTCTTCTCATTCAACACAGTTACAGACATAGAGCTAAAGCGACTGAAAGATGCTTTCAAGAGAACTTGTGGACTCTCATATTATATGACTCAACAGTGCTTCATCAGGGAAGTCCTTGGTGATGGAGTCCCTCCAAAAGTTGCTGAGGTAATCAATGAACTTGCTGTTTTTCTGGGGAGACACATGTGGTTGGTAGTGTACATGGGTAGATGTGCACACACAAATATGCCTGTACAGGTACATGAACTAATTTATTTTCTTTCGGTTTTCCATACAGTATCACAATGTACATTCTCTGTCTGGAGGTAATGATCCAGGCTTGGGTCATGGGTTGTCACTGATGTGTGCTTGACTGAGCTGCTGATTCCAACACCACTAAGAGGGTGGTAGATGACTTGGAAGTAAACCTGAATATCCAGGTGTAGTTTTGGGCGAGTAAAAGGCTAGGAAGTTTTAACGCTATGTGTAGCCATTATAACAGAGGATTCTGTTTACTCTGGAGATGTACTTGCTCTTGATTTCTCTGAGATTCCATTGGCTTTTACTTTGTTTTCTAAAGTGCAGATTAATCTTTACAATCTCCTAAAAAATTACATAGAATAAGTGTGTAAATGAAATGAAAAATAGCCAGAATCAAAATATGCTACATGGATATAAATATGTGTATATATCTAAAAAAATAGTAATACAACCCTGTACACATGGAAGTTTAAAAAATTATTTTCTTTCATAGTGTTGCCCCTGTCCAGAGAGAGAAATTAAAATATAGATAAGAAAGAAAATTAGCCAAACTTTTCTAGTGATATCTTGCTCCATGTCGTTCCTAATCACAGCTTCTATTTCTGGTATCTTCAGTGTTATTTACCTCACAGGTAGTGTAAAAGTCTTCCAGTTTTGTTTAGATAATGTGAGTATTGAAATGTGCATTGCAAAAGGTTTCACACTGTGCTAGAGTTACTTTCTTCCTAAGCTTGATCTTTTCTCCATTCTTTTTTCTGTTTTTCCAAAGTGTTGACAAAGAGGATGATATTACTTGCTTCTGTAATAACAGTTTGATTTTTATGTGGGTGGTCAAGTGCTTAACAGGAAAATTTGCAATGTGTGTTAGCACTATCAAATTAAAAGAAAGTATATGATTTCCCCATAGCTTAAAGCATGTTTTTGGTATTAATTTCTGTATATGGTGTCTGGATGCTTTGACCGTTAGTATCCCATAAGATTAAACAAAATATGTATTCTACACTGTATGCAATTGGTTTGAAATAACTTAAAATGTTGAGAATTTTACATTATGAGTTAACGTGTAGTTTTTTTGTCCCTTTGATGCCAGTATTAAGGATTAAATCACTGATTTGGATGAAGTAAACTTTTGGTGAAAAATAGATGCCAGGTTTTCAAATGTCTACTGGCTACCTTGTACTTTGTTTTTCAAAAATGTGTCCTTAAAGATAGAGTTTTGGTGGTGATGATCTCTTTTAACACTCATCACAGTTGTACCACAGTTCTTGGTTTCCAGTTGGTGAAATAAATTTAATGGAAAAATCATGATTGTTTTTTGATGTAATCTAATCAAAACTGGCACATTGACATCTCAAAGTTCTAGTACAAATTACTGTCTCCTAGCTTTCATATTCAGGCAATGCAGTAGTCATATCTGTGAGATGGAACACTGTAAATGTGGACAAAACTTGAATTTGGTTGCTCATGATGTAAAGGGATGTTTTGTAATTCCTGGCTTTAGGATGTGGAGAGGCAGGCAAAGTCATTAGGCAGCTTAAAGCCTTATTCTGAGTTTTCAGTCTTTCAGTCATTAAAATTGATTATTTTGAGCCTCAGATGGCTGGGCTGTCTTCTCTGCATGTTTTGAATAATATTTTTTCATATCTGAGTAGTGATAGGTCTTTGGGAATTCAATTAAAACCACAAAGTTTTACAGCAGGGACATAAAACAGAGAACTGAAGCCAGTGGAACTTTGGTCAAACAATTTACATGATTGTTATGCACATGAAACGCTTTTAAATGTTCAGGACAGTAATGTTGTGAAAGAATCTCTTGTAAAAATGGAGTTGAAAATACTAATAAAATGAGATTAAGAGATGTGCTATGTCATGGTAAAGCTAGTCAAGTGGTGAGATGTATGAACACAGCATTTATTTTTAAATTTGGTAGAAAAAGTATTGTTCAGAGGAGGTGGAAGGATGAAATGCTGATAATATTTCAAGAAAGCGTTTTTAGTAGCTTTGTATTTTAGACTGAGGAGGGGAAGAATGTTGAAAAAGAACCTTCTAACTTTGGCCTCTACAGTCATTTCAATGACTAATTAGATCATGCATTTTATACATACCTACATATATTATGATTGTGAGAAGGTTTATACACAGCATTCTGTGAAACTTACTAAGTGGATAAGTGTCAGTGCATATTTTTCTCCAAATGTGACTAATTGCTTAGCAAGCTGCAGTCCAGATAATGCAAAGAGAGGAGGAAGGATGCTAACAGAGACATGAAGGACACATTGAGGGGGCTGGAAAAAGAACGAGAACACAGACTTCTCAAGGACTGGGAGAGAAGAGGGGTCATAAGGATAAAATTGGGAAAGAATCCAGGACATTTTATAGTCTCTGCCTTGAGCATCCTCTCCTGCTCTTCCAGCAGCCTTACTAGAGCATATGGGCACAGGGCCAGGGATTTGGACCTGAAGGGAACTGTTTGTATAGACTGAGCCTTTTTTTTTAACAGAAAAGGAGCCATATTGTTATACTCTTCGGTATCCATGCAAAATTGTGTCATGTTTTGATGGTACATCTTACTAGAAGCAGCTTTCCAAATAACACATTAATGTGAAAAATTGTGGAGCTTCTTCATTAGAAATGCAGGCTAATCTCTGTTATATATTGTTATCTAACTATTCAGTGTTTATAAACTCTTCCCAAAGAATGATTAAGCAGCTAAACTCAAAGTAATGCTGCCTGCCCATGGTTGTAATTACATACGTTAAATACTGGTGCATTGGATGTTATCCATAGAATTCCTTTTCTGTGTTTATATCATGAAGTGCCAATGTGCTGTGTTAAAATATTACATAAATGTAATCTTTGACATTCAACTGATAGCATAACTGGGACTTACACAGTTCAACAGAAGTGAGCAGAAAAACTCAGAAATGGGTTTGAATAAGGAGTATGCTTTCAGATGGATGAAGAGAGGAGATGGCTTTATTCAAGGTGATCTATAAAATAGCTGTTCTTAAAAAGTCTAAAAGCACAGAAAGGTTGAATTTGGGTGCTGGAGAAAAGTAAAGTATAAAGAAAATATATTAAAATTAGTGAAAGAAAAACAATTATTTTTCTTTTGATTATTAGTATTTTTTCTTTGAAGTCCTGTTAACCTGAAATGTAAGAATTCTCTCCCTTTTTGTGCTCTTCGTGGTTTTTTCATCAAAAATAGTTGTATTAAGACTTAAACTATGGTGTTCAGATGAGCTAACTGCATATTTTTAAAAAAGTAATGATAACAATGTAATATAAAGGTAAATTGCTTACTTATGCAGTGTAGCCTTGAAGGCATCTTGTGAAATCAGAATGATTAGAAGTAGAAAGTGTGGAATTCCAATGTCTGTCATGACATTGTCCATGAAGCATATACAATTATTGTGTTCAAATAGAGCACAAATTTACTTTTAATAATTTAGCCCTTCGAGCATTTGTAAATGGATTAAACTGTAGTAATAGAAGAGGATGATGTGAGCACCCCATGGGAAGTTAATGTGTTTGGGTAGTGCTATGTCACGTTGTGGAATGAAACTGCAGGTTATACATAATGTTTTCTGTAGAATTAGATCCTTCGGTGTTATTGGCCTCATTTACATTTACTTGCCTTCAGACATCTTTTAATAGTCTTAAGTGGATAGCAATGAAATGTGATAGCTTGACATGTGGACAAAGAGAGGATTTACTGCAGGTAACACACAGAACTATATTGAGGTGTCTTCAGGGAATCTGTCTGCTTCAGCATTATATCTGGTAATAACTGTGATAGTAGAGAGGTGAACAAAAATTTAGAATTTTTCCTACCTTGTTGCCTGATACATCTTCAGAGGTCATCTAGAACCCATTCTGCAAATGAATTCTGCTAATGTACTTCCTATTGCAGCAGTGGAAGGTTTTCCCCACCTTGTTACGCACAAAGCATAAAGGGCAGTTACGGTAGTAGATCTCATGTAGCTAGCCTGTCCGGCATTTCCTTTTCTTTTTTTTCGCCACTGTAGAATTAGGTGGCTTAACCAGATCTGTCCAGTGCCCTCGACAGGCCCATGGCTGGTTTTGTTTGGTCACTTAGGCTTAATTTTTACTTGAGGTGCCAACCACGCCTGAGATAGTATGAAGAGTGACTCATTCACGTGGCTCTGGTATTCAGCTCTCTTCTTCCACCCTTTCCTTGTGCTTGAGGATTCTGTCTGGGGCATTGTTACTGCTGTTACTGAAGGGGAAAGAGGGGACAGAAAGAGGGCTTTTGGTTCCAGTAACTCTCTTCTTGTTCCACGTAATCTTGTGAACCTCTTGTAGAATCCCAGCTTGTTGAGACGGAGGTACTCGAGGAAACAGAGATCTGTCTGAGCTTTGTCGTTAGATATTTCTGAAGCTTGTTTTTGAGACCCACACCATTATCCTTGAGAGACTCAAAGGAGACATAGAATGTGGAAGGCAGTAGGCATCTAGTATATTTTGGGGGAATTTTCAGATTATTTCTTCTCAGAATTGTGTCTGGTTGTAGTTCCTAAGTTTAAAAGCAAACGGAAAGCAAGGAGAAGGGATACAGGTGTTGCAGTTAAGATCTACAGGTTTCATCCCATGGTTTACTGATGATTCACTGTGCTTTGTGGGTAAACACAAAATAGTGGATCTGTCCCCAGGAATTCGGAAGCTCTGCTGACCTCTGAAGTCTACGATTGCTATTTGTCTAAATTCTCAGATAAAAGAGTATACTCAAGGCTTTACTGGAGAAAAAATGAAAAAGCAGTACATAACTGCTTGTACACCTCCTGGTTTTAATATTATTTAGTATGTAATTAATATGCAAGTAAAGAAAATCCTATTTAAAATGTGCACAACACTTCTTAATAGAAGTTGACCTCTGTTCCTTTATCTTTCCCTCTGAAAAAGTTATATTTAAAAAACAAGTTCAGCAAATAAGTCTGCTATGCAAACCGTGCTCAGTGACAAATCGCTTTGTTCTGGTCTTTCACAGTAATAGTTCCCCATCAGCCAGACTTAATACTTCCTCTTTATGGTTAGATACTCAGTGTGATACCTGTAAAAAATCAAATTAAAAGATGCAGACACTGAAACAATTCTTCCATGTAAGAATAATTTGTAAGTTATGGCTCCTTTAAACCCAAATAGCTAACGCAGATTTCTTTCTTGTGATACTGAAGTAGTGGTGCTTGTAGGAATAGATCTGCGATTACAGGAGGAGCCCATGTTTGAAGAGCAGTGCAGCATACGTATTTTCATTTGTGCTCTGTAGCGTTAGAGGCAAGGTGAAGTAATATATTGCAATGTGAGTTGGTAATTCTTGTTTGCTAAAAGTAGTTGCCGTTTGTCCTAAAATGACTTCCTTCCTTTATATCTCATATATCAGTGTTGAATCACTGTTAAGATGCTGTTGAGTAAGTGAAGCTGCAGTGTACAGACTTTTCATGTGAAAGGTGGATGCTTTGGCCCTTCCGTTGGTTGCGTTGTTCTCGGTGGCCGCTCTGTGGATCTTCGAGTAACTTCTGAATAGAAGCCTTGATTTCTAGTGGTTTCTATTGGGAGAAAAAATTTAAATACTATTGTTAGGGTGGGGTACTAAACTGGAACAGTCATTCTAGCAACAGTTGCAGTGTTGTGATAGTTAAGGGATCGTTGGTGGAAGGTTTGTTTTTTTGGTGTCACGTCTTTTCGAAGCAATAGTTTTTGATGGCTTACTGGAGGTGTATCTCCTGTGATTGGGGCAATGAAACACTTGATGCTCCAACAACCTCTTGATGGCTTTGAGACTATCAAAGCCTAGTCTGGAGGAGAATTCATCTTCATTACCTTGATAAGAAGTCTGGGGAAATAGCACCAGTGAGCAAGCAAGAAGCTGTCTTCGTTGGGAGTTTCTAACTTTCTGGGTTTTGTTCTGCTGTTCATGAAAAGTACCTGCATTTCACTAAATAAAAAACCCTGGAAAGGCTATTTTATAGGTACTGGAAGAGCTACAAAAGTGTGACAGAATTAATATTAAAGTTGTTTAACTGAATGTGAGGTGACTAGCCTAAAAACCAGATGAGATGGAGCTTCAGTGTATGTTGTTGCTTTTAGTTCTCATATCTTTGTTCTCCCTCTTAACTTTTTGGTTAACTTCTCTGTTTTTTTCTTGTAGGTTATCTACTGTTCATTTGGAGGAATATCCAAAGGGCTGCACTTCAATAACTTGATAGTCGGATTAGTTCTACTTACAAGAGGCAGAGAGGAAGAGAAGACAAAATGTAAGTAATGTAACTTAGAGCGGTAACAACAGGACAGTGGATAGTGTGTATAAAATACATTTATGTAAAGCAAACATGAATTGTGTTATACTAAGTCTCCGGTTTTATATGTAACCAGAGCATACGTTTCACAATAAAGGTAGTGCTTTTGAAGACATTTTTAGCTGTATATTTTGAAATTCAGTGTGTTTTTGTTTTCTATACTCACCAAAATGAGATATTTGATAAGTCATCATGAATGTAAATGTTAGGATCCTACAGAAAGACTGTTGATCACTGTATGTGGGCAGAGGAAGGAGGATGGCACTGATATTTTTCAAAACAAATGAAAGCATCTGCCTACTGGCTTCTGTTGTTTTGTCTTCCTTGTTAATCTGAATTGATAGTATTTCTTTTCCTTTTGATTAGTGCACAATGGTAAAAGAAAAAGGAGGTACTTCTTGACCCAAACCTTGTTGAGCTATGTTGAAATTTAAGTTTTTAGTCCTTTAGTTGTTGCACAGCCTTTGGCATTCTTAGCCACTTGCAAACTTAATATTTGTAAAACTTTAATTACCATAGTTGCTTAAACATATCTCTACTTCCTCAGACATTTTCAGTCTCTTTTCTAATGAATCTGGGAGTTATGTTGTCCGTGAAGAGATGGAGAAGATGCTGCATGTGGTTGATGGGAAAGTCCCAGAGTCACTCAAGAAATGTTTTTCTGAGGTATTTCATACAGGTTTTATCCTATTGCATTTACAAAAATGTGAAAATTACAGTGGGTAGGTTTTTTTTTCTCTGACATACACATGGTCTTGCATATATGAGAACAAACTGACCTTGTTTAAGTTGGGTAGGTCTTTTATGTTGTAATATTACATGTAATTTCTATTGATGTGAATAGCAGTTTGGTATATAAATGTAGGCATTCTCCATGCTGCTATACTTACAGTGCTAGTTTGAAAGACATAATTTCCCAAGGGTAATCATGTTATCAAGTAAATTTAAATACTAATATTGCTAGTGGAAATTTATTCATTAATGTGGACATTTTATTGCAATCGGGGAAGAAATATAGAACACAGATCTAAAAGGGGAAAGAAGATCTGCATCCTGGATTTAAAAATGCCTGCCAGCAGTGGTTGTTTAAAAATAATAGTTTTATAGTATTACTTTTGTCTCACTGTGCCTGCCAGCAACTGCAACATTTATTTATGCTTTAGGTTGTTTGAGAGATGTAATCTTGATGAAGCTTGCTGAAGTCGTCCTCTAAAAGAGGCCATGGTTACTTTTAAATATTCACAGATACTTCCTCGGCACTAGTGATCCTGATGAATTCCTAGGTTTTTGTGCTGCTTTGGTTGCTTCATTTGCTGTCAGAGGGCTATAGATCAGCAAAATCTCATGATCATTATACATTCCACTGAAAAACTGATCAACTAGAAGCTTTATTTGTGGAGATCAGATTACTTATTTACCTTAAATTTTATTGTACTATATTGAAGATAACTTTGGTTATGGGCGTTGGCTGAGGTAGACTCGTTTAATCTGTGGTGGTGGCATCATGTTGGCTTTGTAGGCAATGATTACATTCAACGTTCTTGGCTGGAATCATAAATCATATGGATACTGCAGTCCAGTTTCTGGAGCTGACCCACTTCAGTATTTCCTATTTATAATTTCCCATCAATATGGTGTGATGAATTATACCCTAAAAGTGAATAGCACACTCTCTAAGAAATCCAGAAATCCTTTATGAAGACTTGCAAGAAGAGAAGTATCAATCTGGCCTTGTACCATTTTCCTGTTCAAGAAAAATGCTGTATATTGATTTTTCTTTTAAAATGAAAATAGCGTAATAACCCACTCAGCAGGATTTACTGGCTTGTTAATCATACTAGGTCATTGCTGGAGAGTGAGAAGTTTAATGTTCCTGCTGTGGGCCTTCCTTCCTGCCGTATGGCAGATGAGTTTATGCTTTCAAGGATGAGGTTTATAGGTACTTCTATCCTTCAGAATTATTGCGTGTACTCATCTAGAAATATAAGCTTCAAAATACATCTGAATTTTCCTCACTCTTGTTTCTGAAATACAGGAAATAAATTCAGTGATACCCGTATTGCTCTAGTTGCTCAGGTTCCATTATGGCTCAGCTGTAAACACTACTTGCTTCAAATGTTATTTTCCCTTTGTCCGAAGTTTTCCTGTCCCTCTTCTTCCTTGTCTGTCCTCTAATCAGTTGGAACAATGCAGAGTCATAGTGAAACGTGACACAGCTCTTGCTGCATTTACAGAAAGCAGTGCAAAAAAGTAGAGGGAGAGTGGAACAGGTAGTGAGAAAATTATCTTGTCTCTGATCCAAACTGTTAAGAGAAATTGTGGGCTGCTTTTTTCTTCTCTGTTAAATTGGCAGTAGAGGGTTTTTTTGCTTAAGTGGTTCCATAATGGGTTAAATCCTGCAAAGTCCGCGCTGTTGAGATAGCCTTTTCCTCACCCTCATTCATTCTCCTACCTTTGTGCTGTCTCAAGTATTTATATGCTGCTTTGATGAACTGGATTGGGACACTGATCTTGGCTGAGAAGTAAGCCCTTTTTCTGTAGCTCGTAATCCTGTAGGTTATTTTTCAGCTAGATCTGTTTTGCCACATGACTGCACTAGTGTGATTGCTGTCACAAAAGAGAAGGGATGAAGGATCAGAAACAGTGTTGGTAAGAGGAAGAAGGTTAGGACCGTGCTGTCAGTCAGTAGTGCGGATATCTGCAAATCAAACTGGTGATGGAATAGCATTGTAGCATCTTGACTTCCATGAATTATAACCATGTGGAAGTCTGTGATAGTAGTTCTAAGTATTGGGGTATTTCTGCAGGTATTTGTTGGAGAAAAATGTAACATACTTTAGTCTAGGAAAAAGAGGCATAAAAAGAATGAGTAACTGGAACCTGAAAGAATCCATTATAATGGCAAATGCTTTAGCAGTGATGGTGATTAACCATTTGAGCAACCTGGCAAAGGGAGTGGTGAATTTTTGATTTTCTGCAGTTGGCAGTTGCAGACAGTCCGTGGCCAAATGTAAATTGTTGGATTCTCAGTGAAGTTTGATGGTCTGTGATATTAGGGAAGTTTAAATAATCAGTGACTTGAAACCTCTTTCACTTTGCAGACCCCTGCTTATTCCCATGGAAATTAGTATCTCCGTATAATGAGTTTGTCTACTGATAATAGGCTTGCTTTTATTTTAGTTAGTTTTGTAGGTCCTATAGAAATTAATCTGCTGGTCCCTATGGTTTCATGGCCACAGGTTGGAAAACATTCAACTAAATGGTTTAAACAGCCTCTCCAGCATTTAAACTCTGTGATATAGTTTTTATGTGTTCCTGAACAGGCAGTTCCATGAGACATCCAGCAAGAGAAGACTGAGTTAGGAGACACTGTGAATGTCATATTTACATGTATGCTCTAAAGCGGATTTTGGTCAACAGAAGCAAAAAATTGACCTGCTACTGCAGTGATTAGTCATACCATTAGTTATTCACAAAGCTAATTTTTCTGTGTTAAGTGTTTGTATACTTGCACAAATATAACAGAATGTTTGTGATTTTAGAGCACCTGTTATTTGGCATGTAAGAGCTTTTATCTATCATAATAAATTTAAATTCGGAAAATAAGTGCTGTTATTTTGAGTTGTAAGTAACCATTTGTCTTCTAATCCCTTTAGCCTGACGTTCAGAGTAAATAACTTTCCAAAGGCCACATTGAGTAGGTGGTTGAAATGCAGAGAGCTGAGGAGTCTAATTTCCCTCCCAGTGCTGTATTTCAGAATTAAATGGAAAAACAGGCGTAGCTCCAAAGAAAAAAATTATTTTAGTACTTATTTTTATGGGAGATTGTCCCAATTCTTGTTCATATATCTGGATGGTTCCTGTTTACTGGTACTGAGAAAGCAGAGAAAAACAGCTCACGTTTTCTTATTTTTCTTACAGGGTGAAAAGGTAAACTATGAGAAGTTTAGGGTTTGGCTCTTGCACAACAAAGATGCTTTCACGTTTTCCCGTTGGCTGCTCTCTGGAGGTGTGTATGTGACACTCACTGATGATAGTGATACCCCTACCTTCTATCAAACCCTGGCTGGAGTCACACACTGTAAGTAAACAATGCTTGTTATTATGCGCATTTTAAAAAACTGTTTCAGAGTTCACAGACGTGAACTGTTGCCTTGCCGTTGTTGATCATTAAATCTCACTACTCTGAGATACATGCAGTTCTGTTCAGCAAGATAAGTTTCTTCTCTGTGTTAATTTGTTCCCTGCTTTTTGTGTTGTGATACGTAAAACACTGTTATGTACGAGGACACTGTATGTCGTTATTCTTATAACAATACCGAAATTGCACCACTTCTCATAGTAGAAGTTTGCTACTGAGCAAATTAAAAAAAAAAATAAAAAGGAAAGTATCTTCTCTTTGACAAATATGTTTATTTAAAGTGACTTGACATTAATACTCATTTTACATTTGGTCTTTCAGATATAGTGGATCCTAAAACTATTGAGACAGTTCTGAAAATAATGCTCATTTCAAAAAGAAGCATTACCTCTTAATTTTGCTTTCTGCAGTAAAATAACTAATATTCCTGGCACATGATGGTAGTCGAGGAACTAAATTAACTGAAGAGAAGCCTCCTCAGGATTTGCATTTAGCTATAATTTCCAAAGAACAAATGCTTCCTTATGTCTATATTGATGCAAAAGAAGGAACAGCTGTTTTTTAAATTAAATGTAAAAACAAAAGGCTGACTTATTATACTTGATGTGCAAGTATAATGTAAGCATACATTACAGTAAAGCATCTAAAGGACTTTCATATCCCTAGGAGAAGGGTGTTTGCTATTGAGATGTCAGTGATTTGAGCAATCTGGTTGCGTTTTATGTACTCTCATAGATTTTCTTTGTTGGTGTCAGCATGGCATTTAATTTCTTTAAGAGGTAGGTTACTTGAATAAAGCAGCATACAGTTTTTTCTCTTGGTTTTAAATATGAGCATTAAAATTCTCTTCTGACCATCTGAAATGAAAATCCGTAATAACATTAGAAGTTTATGGACATGTAATTTATTTGCATTATATGAGAGACTGCAGTAAACATTGAGCTTACAGAAGACCACTGAATACTCTGAGGTCTAACAGACAAAATAGAGAAAAAGGTATGCTAAAAAAACCAACCAACCAAACCAACCTCTTTCAATTTTCTAGACTTCAGCCCTGGGAAAAAAATCTCAAGCTGTATCAAATTGAGGTCTGCCTTATTAAGTCTCCTTTGCCCTAAGTGTTCAAAGAAAGCTTTACCTCAGGCCTCAGAGGTTATTTTGATTTTTTTTTTCATGCTTTGAAATGGAAACTTTTTTTGACCAGTTTTTACTAGGCTTGTTGTGGAAAGTTTATTTATACTTAAACTGAGGTCTATAATTAAAAAAATCTAAGAGCTACTGTTTTAATAGATTTTATTTCATATTTAATGTTGTTCTCACTTCTGTTTTCGATATACCTGTCACTGTTACCATCTGCAGCCAGGCCCTCACCTGTATTCCCAGATATTTCAGGTGTGCAAAATACGTGATTCATGAAAGAAATGGTGTTTAAACTGAGGAGCATAATATTCAACTTTAGCCAACCTGCACCTCTGTTCTTGTATGAAGAAGAAAGCCTTTCTTTCTTCAACTTATAGGCTAGGAGATTTTTTTCAGTTTTAAACAAAGAATTGGAGAAATTAAGACTGAAGTGCTATAATTCAAAACAAAATTAAGGAGACTGGATGAGAAGCATATAAGAAAAAAATGAATGGGGACAAAATCTGGTCTGATTCTTGGAAAAAAATTGTTCAGATGGTTCCATGTCATATTTGTTTCTACTGTAGTTACTTTTTTTCCTTTTAGTTTTGTAGAGTGTATTTTCACCGTCTCATCTTAAATTTCTCAGCCTTTGTCTTAACAGAATCCCAGTTACTTTATCAGCCTCTATCAAATCAAATTGCCTCCAGTACCTCAGTTTACATTTGAGCCTTTTTGATTGCCGTGGCCTATTAGCTCATCACAGTGTCTTTGCTAGCATTTCAGCCGTACAGTCCTTTCCTGAGCATGCCTTCAGCTGGAGTGTAGTCTGTTTTCCATTTAATGACTATTGTCCCCCCTAACTTCCATGTACCTTTGGCATCTTCACCTGTACAATCTCAAATCTGGCTTAATTGCTCTTACATATAGTGACTCCCTCCCTCTCTGTTTAAATTTTCGTAGCATACTCAGTGATCCTACCTCAGCATAGGCATCATCTTGTCTGAAAATTTCAGTCCCCAAATCAGCTCACTCTGCCTCTCAGCTATAGCTTGTAGTTCCTCATATTTTCAGGTCAGCAGTTCAAGTAATATTCCTGTATTTGGTTTTAATCTCTCTGATCAAGTTGATGTATAGTAATTTCATAACACTCCTCCATATTGCAGCATTTGATACTGTAAACTGAATTACAGAAGGAAGTGTTTAGTCTTCTTTCTTTTCTAGGAAACATGCGCGTGTGGTTGCTGTTTTACATGTGCTAGCTCAACAGTACGTGTTCTGTTGGGGAAGTTGCCAGATTTTTAAACCCTGTGTAATATGTTTGCAGAGTTTTTGGTGTCTGCTTGTGTGTTCCAACTCAACCTGTGTTCTCAGGGGGAAAAAAATGAACTTCTGAAAAAATGAATTTCTGTTGCTATATATTGTATCAGACTACGGAGAAATTCAGTGTTTTCTGGTTACTGACAGCTTACTTTTATAAGCCATTGGCTGTGTGTAATAAAGGTAGAACCGAGTGAAAAATAAGTCTTCTGTTAGGATTAAAAAGCTGAAATAAAATATTTGAGAGTGTTTGAAATGATTATTGAATCTTCAAGTGCATGTCAGAACTAGAGTTAAACTTTTCATTATATGCCAGAAAACTGTGTAGCTTACATGTCTTTTTGAATCAGTAAAATGTTTTGAACCACGTACTGTCTACAGGCTCAGTATACTTAATCAAATTTGGAAAGCTCACATGACAGTTATGTTTGGACCCCTAGATAAGATGACATTTTACTGTATTTTTGTTATTTTCCAGTTAAATATTGTACTAAGAAAAACAGAAAATAGTTGTGCTGTGTTATGATGTCTGTAGCCTGGTATCTCTCAATTGACAGATGTGGAAAACTGACAAGAATTTAAGATAGTAGGAAGATGATCTGGTGAACTTACCAGCCCGCCCTAGGTCTGGACAAATACTTTCTTTATAATATATCCAGTGATTTCCCTTGTGATTTGAGACAGTATAAGATTTTCATACAACAGATGCAAAACTGAGGAAAATACAAGTGCCTAAGCACTTGGAAGTAATTGCCATAAAGTATGAACGCTTGCTGCTTTGCTGCTTTGTTTTTTAAGTTGAATAATTGCAACCTAGTCAGGTCAATCTGAAGAATAAGAAATTTGGTACAGATATATTCTTAACACAGCTGAATGTGTAAAACAGTACGAGCTGTTATGACAGTTCCTTTTCTCTAAACAAAGGCTTGCTTTTAGTACTTAGGATAGTGGTTGCCCTTTGGGAGAACAAGTAACTGAAATAATGTTTAGTAAAACTAGGCAAACACTGTTAGCAGAATACAGTGAAAGAATGAAAGTTTTTAAAATTTCTCCTACTGTAAAATGAAAACTAATTTGTGAAACTTGCTAGTGCAGTTAGGAATTTCTCACCTGGCTGCTAGGCTTTGGCTGGGTCGCTGCACGCCGTCTCCTGGCTCAAGCTTTGGACCCTCCTATCAAGCCTCTCACCTCCTCTTGCAGCGTGCTTCCCATTAAACATCTTGAATAATATGTCAGAGATGTGAAAAATTGCAGTGATAAAAATAGTGAAAGTTATGTTGATTTAGAAACAGACAGCGAACATTTATGGCAAGGCATCAGTGACTCCATTTACATTTGCTTAATGAGCCAAGCTATCAGGGAAACAAAGGAATTCTAATTTTTCATTTGTAAATAACATTTATTTTGGTATGCAGATGACTTTAATTATATTTCTCAACACATAATTAGAAATGAAATTTTAAAGTTACAGGAAGTTGCACACATTTGCTGCTTTTAATCAAATTTTGTTCCATTTCACTTAAGTCATAAATATTAATTGAAAGCTACCAAAATAACATAAGTTTCTCATGGACCTTTGTTCTTAAAGAACAGTTTCAGGGCTATGAACCTTTCTTACACTTGCGTACTGACCAACTAGCAGTAACTTGGATTTTCTCAGTTTTGTATGATTGGGTACCTTTCATGTTGTGTTTTGGTTTGGTTTTTTTTTAACAGTCATATTGAATAACACTGTAGTGGAGCATGTAAATCAAAGGTAAATCCTAACAGGGACTACCGCAAACACTACAATTCTCTGTAGGGGAATATTCCCTCAAATCATTATACATCCTTAATAATGACAAATTAAACACCTGATCTTTCCTGTTACTCTAAGTCTGAAGGCAGTAATTCATTAACACAACAATTCTTCGTCAGTGGAGGATGTCATTTTGTTGCCTGCCCTGGCTGGTTTGCACTTTTGTCAATATTGGAATGGAAATGGCTCGATTCCTGCCTGCAAAGTACAGCTTTCTGTGGCTTGGTGTGGCAGACAGACGTACAGGAACATGAGGCAGATGGTAGGGTCTCCTGTCCCACCAAGTGCAGACCCTGGGGGTCGCTCTGTCATTTTTTGTAAGATATTGAGGTTTATTGTTTTGTTTCGATGTGTTTTTTTAATCCAGTTGGGGTAAATTATTCCGGTACATCTTCTACATGTATTTGTGGGCAGTTTGTCTTAGTTTTCTGTCAACGTTGTCCTTGCTTTCAGACAGTCTCTGGTCTCCTTCCTTTTTGCTGTTCAGTATAAATGCAAGTGTCTCTTATGTTTCTTCGTGACCTTTTTTGTGAAAATAAAATGAGCCCAGTTCAGGTTTGTTTTAGACCAAGTGTTCCATCCCTGTTCCATCTCAGACTTGGGTGACACATTGGTGTCACACTGACTCCAGGTGAGACCTCATTGGTTTCCTTCCTTTGGCTGGAAATACTTCTTCTGCCACAACATAGGTGGTGGTGGTTCC